ATTTAATACTTTATTTTTTCCCAATTGCATGTAAAAATAATTTTCAACATTCATTTAAAAAATTGAGCTCCAAATTCTCTCCCTCCCTCCCCACCCCTCTTAATGAGAAGGCAAGCAATTTGATATAGGTTGTACATGTGCAATCATGCAAAACATATTTCCGTATTAGTCATGTTGTAAAAGAAAACATAGACCAAAATAAAGACCTAAGAAAAATAAAGTTTTAAAAAAGTGTTCTTCAATCCGAATTCAGACTCCATCAGTTTTTTCTCTGGGGATGGATCGCATTTTTCATGACAAGTCCTTCAGAGTTGTCTTGGATCACTGTATTGCTGAGAAGAGCTAAGTCATTCACAATTCTTCAGCATACAATGTTGCTGTTACTGTGTACAATGTTCTGGTTCTATCAGTTCATTTAAGTCTCTCCAGGTTCGTTTAAGTCTCTCTTTCTGAGAGCATCTAGCTCATCATTTCTTATATCACAATGGTATTCCATCACAATCACATACCACAAATTGTTCAGCCATTCCCCAAATGATGGGCATCCCCTCAATTTCCAATTCTTTGCCACCAGAAAAGAGCCGCTATAAATATTTGGGTACCGTTCCAAGTTGCTCTACGTAATGGCTGAATCAGTTCACAACTCCACCAACAGCGCATTAGTGTCTCAATTTCCCCACATCTCCTCCAACATTTATCATTTTCCTTTTCTGTCCTGTCAGCCAATCTAATAGGCATGAGGTAGTACCTCAGTATTGCTTTAATTTGCATTTCTCCAATCAAGAGTGATTTAGAGCATTTTTTCATATGGCTATAGATAGCTTTGATTATTTCATCTGAAAACTATTCATTTTTTTTTATCACTCATCAATTGGGGAGTGGCTCTTATTTTTATAAATTTGACTCATTTCTCTATATATTTGAGAGATGATACCTTTATCAGAGAAACTTGCTTCACATTTTTTTTCACAGCTATGATGGCTAACTGTATTTTCCCTCTATCCTATTTCCCCCCTTTTATTCTATTCTCTCTCTCCTTTCATGGGCCTAGGGAGTTTTCAAAGGGAGTCAAAAGGCCTGGGCTCAAGTACTACCTCCACTCCACTCTGAGCAGGTAGTGTGACTGTGAGCAGGAGGCCTATTCTCCGTGCCGCATTGTCCTCGTCTGTAGAACGAAAGAACTGACCCAGAATGACTTCCAAGACCCTCTCAGCTCCCGATCCCTTGATCACGGAGGGGCCCCGGTACCATCTCATTTCTCACTGGTCCCCCCAGAGACAGAGCATTTTGGGGCCCCTGCCCCCACTCCAGGCTCCCTAGGGCAAGGGATCCATGGTTTCTGCATGTTTCAGGACTTCCTCAAGTTACACATAGAGACAGGAATAGAGGTGCAGCACCGAGTGTGAGACAGTACCTTTCGTAGGCCAGGCTGCACCAAAAAACAGGCCTAAAGCCAGGGACTGATCACGTCACTGCCCTGCTCAAGAAGCTTCCAAAGCTCCCGACCGCCCAGCTCCCACGGGGCATCAGACTCCATCCTGCCTTGGCCTGAATACACATTTCTCCCCATCACACACTTCATTCCTCCAGCAATCTTGTCCTCCTAGTTCTTTCCCTTCTTCAGTGTTCTGTCTCCTACTTCTGGGCCTGCCTTCCACTCCAGGTGTGAACATTCTTTGACCTTACCCTCTTAGAACCCCCACTTCCCCAAAAGGCTCAGCCCGAGCGCCATCTTCTACAAGAGGCCTATCCTGCCTCCCCAGCTGCTAATGCCCCTCCATTACTTTGTATTCTGAATACTTTGTACTGATTTATTTCCTCCCAAATGTAAGCACTGTGAGGCACACCCCATTTCACCTCTGTCTTTACAGGCTCAGAGCCAGCACATTTTAAGGGCTTAACAAATGCTCTATGGATTCAACTGATGTGCGTCAGCTAACCTCAGTACTAACCTGTGTGCCAGCTCAGTGCAGTCTGCCCACAAACCAGAGTTGGAAAGATGCCAGAGACCACCCAATCCCATCCAAACTGCTCCCTAACCCCAACCAGAAACCCTTTACAACAGACCTGACAAATGGTCACTCAAGCTGTGAGTGAAGATCTGCTTTGGGGGGTCTCCAGAGGCACCCCATCTCACTCAGAGCTAACCCTACCAGGAAATCGGTCCCTTCATACAAAGACCTTCCCCTAATCCGTACTTCCCTTTCTTATCCTAGCTGCACTGATTTTGTTTCTGTTTATTGCTGTTGGGACATTCAGTCACACCCAACTCTTCATGACCACATGAACCATCTGTCCTCGGGGTTTTCTCGGTAAAGGTACTGAAGTGATTTGCCATTTCCATCTCCAGTGGATCACTTTTTGTCAGAGCTCTCCACCATGACCTGTCTTGCTTAGTTTCTTCACTTCTATAAGCCTTTTTACTTTTGTGTAGTCAAAACTGTCCCTCTCTTCTTTTATGATCTCTTCTACCCCATCTTTGATTAAGTTCCATTAACTGTGAAAGGCATTTGACTCCATTCTCCTCTAACTTTTCTTTATATGAACTTTTTTAGGTAATGGATCCATTCAGAATGTATTGCGGTACATGGCCTAAGTGTTACTCCAAGTCTACTTTTGCTAAAGTGATTTCCAGTTTTCCCAAAAGTTCTTGTCAAAGAAGAAGTCCTTCCGTAAGCAGTTTATGTTCCTGGGTGTTTTGCACACTTGATTAGTGAATCCATGCTATTTTTCTAAGTCTGTAGGATTCCTTCATTAAAATGAAGAGAATAGATCCAGTTCTTCTACTCATTTTAATTTATATATTTCATAGCAAATGTAAGTGATTTGTTTTCAGTCAATAAGTGATTATTTTTAGTCAATGAGTACCCATGGTAGGGAGGGGGGAAAGAAAGAACCCACAAACATAATACACATATCTGAATCAGATCCAGCCAGCTGAAGCCTCAGAAAGAGGAGTCCAGTAGACTGGGATGCTGCAAAGCTCCAAATCTACAGCAATGTAATTCATGGAGGTTGGGGCCAGGTTCCTAGAGCTCCAAAGATGGCTTCTCACTTCCATCTTTTTTATAGGAAAGGGTGCCTCTGTAATTCACGTTAAGTTGGTTTCCCTGCATTGCTTAAGAGTTCTATGGCAATGACTGTAGAGAAGCAAAGTATCTGTTTCCTCCGCTCCCCAAACCATAGTTTAAGGTTCTTGATTGATTACAAGAGACAAGGGGCATAGGACTGAAATGTTTGTTTTCCCCTATCCCTGCTCAAGGTGTTAACAAAGGATGCTAATATCTCACTAGTAATCTCTGGTGTGTGGGGGAGGGTATCTTGGACCCAGGTAGACATATCTATCAAGTCATAACATGGCATTAACAGGCATGCAAATAAGTCCCTGGCATGGGTACAAGTGTCCAGGAGGGTACAAGTGTCCAAGGGAATTCGTGCAATCTCGGAATGGCTTGGCCACTGCCACCAGATATTTGCTGGTTAAAAGACGGTCCTGAGATATTTAGCTTGGGATTGTCTATGTGAATGCTTACTACACAGTGGGATAGGGGAGATTTATGTAGCTGAAAAAATCTTCATAGGGACCTAATATTAGAGAGAGGGGTCTTAATTATTAATGCAGCTATGTATAAATGTGGGTACTCATGGATAATTAACAAGCAATATCAATGCATTTACATTAATAAAGGAAAGATCAATGCAATGGCAAGAGACTGAAGAGGTAACAAACCATTCAGCTCCTGCGGGGAAGGAGGATGAATTTAGAATGCAGAGACACATACATGTGATGGCCTGGCCACTCTGGGAACTGGTTTTGCTGGACCATGCATGCTTACAATTAAGGTATTTTTATTTTTGTTGTATGGAGAAGCTGTAAGAAGAACAGATTATAAAAGCATGTACAATGAACAAATGAGTGAGGCAAAGAGAAAAACCAAAGAAAGGTATGTGCAATAATAAAAACCCGAAATAATAACCCTATCTTTCTGCACATTGAGAAAAAAAGTCATTGTACCCATATTACCCATGTTAACGGGTTGACTTGACAGTCATAGCTCAACTGGTCCCACTAGCACCTTCTCACTGAACTGTTTCTGATTCCTGCTTCTCTTTCCCCTGATGAGCTTTTTTGATTTGTAATCAGTAAGAATGGTTTTGATGACTACTTCTCTGGTACATAGTCTGAGGTCTAGAATGGCTATGTCTCCTTCATGGTTACGTTTTATCCCCCATTATTTCCTCTATGATTCTAGACCTTTTTTCCCTCCAAATTAAGGTTATTATTTTATCTAGGGCTACAAAGTAATTCTTCAGTGTTTTCATTGGTAGAGCACCAAATGTGTAATTAAAGTATTATTATTTTCATCATAATGGGACAGCCCAACCATGGACTATTTCCCATTTACAAATGGACAATCCCTTAGGTGATAGCTATCTGAGAGGAGCGGGGGAAACACGTTGGGAAATGAAGAAACAAAAGCTATCAATAATATTTTTTAAAAGGAAAGGGAAAAATCATTTACAACTAAGTAAATATAAAACATATCCAGACTTTTACTACAAATGATTTTTTGTGATCTTAAATAATTCATGACGCTATAAGCAGTATAAAAGCATTCCTGTATTTACCATAGTCATGCCAGTATCAAATTCTTTCATTTTTAACAATCTTTGCCAAATCCATGAGGTTGAAGAGAATCTCAGAACTTTTAGATTCTAGAGATTCTGAATGGCTTTTTTTTTTTCATATGGTTGTGGATAACTTGTGTTTCCTTTTCTTAAATCTGCCTATTCACATATTTTGACACCTTGCCTATTGAAGAATGATTCCCATTGTTATAAATTCATGTCAGGTCCCTATCAATGGTGGATATCAGACTTTTATGAGAAGTGTATGGAGAAGGGTAAAGCCCTACGGAGAAATGACCCATGTTGTAAAGACAAAAGGCATCAATAAAACTTATTATTAAGCATAAATAAGTTAATGGAGGAAGAAAGAGTTCAATGAACAAATGTATTTCCCAGTTTGCTTTGATGTTTCTTGTGACTGTTAAAAACAATATACACCCATTTTGGGCTGAGGTTTCTTATGCATCTGAATGCCTGTAACTTGTCAGTGAGAGTTAGCAATAAAAGGGATTTTTTAGATGACAGTCTGATTGTGATTAGAGGTACTATCATATCTGATGCACTGACTAGTACAACTCTTCTGCCACCTGGTGGCAACCAATGTGAACTGCATAGAGCTCAGGAGAAACAAAGGGAAATTGTTATCTGTCCTTCTCAAAACACCACAAAATAATGTAATCAAGTCAGCAATCTTGACTCTCCAGCATTAAACAGAAGGCAAGCTGTTAGGATGCTCCCATCATTTTTACATTGCTGCAGTTCGTTTCCAGCATGAGGTTTATGATATTAAATAAGGGATGAACCACATACCATGAAGGTCTTCTCATGGTTATAGTATTCTCAACTTTTTCTTCTGCATGAATTCTCTGTGCCTTCCTAAGTGTTCCATCAGTGCCCAAGACTTTGCTGCATTTTATTACACTTATGGAGTTTCTCATGCACACTCTGGTGTTCAGTAAAGTGCCCTTTTTGGCTGAATGTTTAACCCATGAAACATGAACTATATTTCAAGGGCTTCAGGCTTACCGTCCAGCATGAATTCTCATTTATTAATTCTGCATGACTAGGCTTTCCCACATTTATTATATTAACTAGGTTTCTCTCTTGTATGAAGGCTTTTGTGTTTGCTAAGTAATGACCTACGGGTGAAATTTTTCCCACATTCACAGCACTCAAAGAGTTTCTCTCCAGAATGAGTTCTCTGATGTGAAACCAGTGATGACCTCTGGTTGAAGTTTTTTCCACATTCATTGCACTCAAAGGGTTTTTCTCTCATATGAATCTTTTGATGTGAAATAAGTGATGACCTCGGACTAAATTTCTTCCCACATTCATTACACTCATAGGGTTTCTCTCCAGTATGAATTCTCTGATGCACAGTAAGGTGAGATTTGTTGTGGAAAGCTTTCCCGCATTCAGTACATTCATAAGGTTTCTCTCCAGTATGAATTCTCAAATGGAAAACAAATGATTTTCTATGGCTAAAGCTTTTCCCACATTCATTACACTCATAGGGTTTCTCTCCAGTGTGAATTCTCTGGTGTACAGTAAGCTGAGATCTGTTGTGGAAAGCTTTTCCACATTCATTACACTCAAAGGGTTTCTCTCCAGTATGAGTTCTTTGATGTACAACAAGCTGAGATTTGTGGTAGAAGGCTTTTTCACATTCATTACACTTAAAGGGTTTCTCTCCAGTATGAATTCTCTCGTGTTTATTAAGTTGGCTCTTCCACATGAAGGCTCTCCCACATTCATTACACTCAAAGGGTTTCTCTCTCGTATGAATTCTCTGATGGAGAGTAAGGCAAGATTTGTAATGGAAGGCTTTCTTGCATTCATTGCATTCAAAGAGCTTCTTCCCAGTGTGAATTTTCTGATGTAAAATAAGTGAAGACTTCAGGCTGAAGTTTTTCCCACATTCACTACATTTGAAGGGTTTCTCTCCAGTGTGCATTCTTTGATGCAGCATAAGGTAAGATTCATCACGGAAAGCTCTTCCACACTCATTACATTCAAATGATTTCTCTCTAGTATGAATTCTCTGATGCCTTTTAAGACAAACCTTCTCACTGAAGGCTTTTCCACATTCATTACATTCAAAGGGTTTCTCTCCAGTATGAATTCTCTGATGTGCATTAAGTTTACATCTCCACTTAAAGACTTTGCCACATTCATTACAATAAAAGGGCTCCTTTGCAAAGTGAACTCCCTGATGTAGAGTAAAAATTTTCTCACATTCATTAGAAAGATGGCGTTTCTTTTGAGCATAAACTCTCTTACAGTCATTAGGGCTTCTCAATTGACAAAAAACTTTCTGACATTCTTTAATCTTGCAGGGTTTCTCACCTGCAAGAATTCTCTCATGATACATAAGGAGGGCGTTCTGGCTGAAGGCTTTCTCACATTCATTCCATTTATTGGATTCCTTTCTAGTATGAACTCCTTGCTGTAAAAGAAGGCGAGACTCATTACTAAAGGCTTTCTCACAAATATCATCTGGGCCATCTCCAGTCCTCACTGACATCTGGCCACTGGCCTCCAGATGGCTCTGGAGGAGAATGTGAGGCTGGTAACTTTACACAACCCTCCCTCACTCAAATCCAATTCAATTACAAGTCATCATCTCCCTGATGTCATGATGTCCTCTTTAAGAGCAAAAGACGAACCACAACCACACACACACAATTTATCATATTTAAAGGGTGTCTCTTTGGTATGAACTTTCTAGTGGGCAGAAGTCAAAAGCTTTGGCTGAAAGTTTCCCAAAATTCACGAGAAGGGTTTCTTTCCTACGTGGGCTCTTTGATGGACACTAAGCCTTCCCTACTGACTAAAGTCTTTTCTGTATTCATGAACACATTGAGTGTTTTCTCCAATTTATATTCACTGATAATGATGGCTAGCATTTATATTGTACTTTAAAGTTTGCCAAAACCCTTTACAAACATTGTTTCATTTTGTCCTCACAACAACCTTGGGAGATAAGCATTATCCTCATTTGAGAGATAAGGAACTGAGACAGAGGTTAAATGACCTGCCCAAGGTCATACAGCTCATAAGTGTATGAGGCTGGATTTGAACTAAAGTCTTCCTAACTCAAGGGTCCAGAGCTCCATCCACTGCACCACCATGCAGCTAGGAAGGAAAGGATGGATGCTCTTTTACTGAAGACTTTCTCACATTCACTACGGTCATACACCTATTCTCTAGTATATAAGTATGAAATTGTGTTCTGAGGAGTGTCTGAAGGCATTCCTCCATCACTGCCCCAGAACATGGTATTCTATTATGTCTAAGTAGGTCTTATCACTGTGTGATGTTCTCCTCAAACACACATTTTCATGGAGATGTACTCTTGTGGGGACTCTGTCTTGGGAAACTTCTTCCAAAGGTGCCATAATCAGAGGCACTCGCCTTGGGGATCTCGCTGCTGTGGAGGAATATTACTTGCCCAGCCCACCCCTCCCAGTTTCCCTGTTTCTTCTCTACACTGGCAGCACATTGCCCAGTTTCTCCTGTACTGGCGTCCCAGACACCAACCTTCTGCGGTCTTTCCTTGGCTGATGCTCTCATGACAATGTCCTTGGTTTCACATTTTTCCTCATGAAATGAACCTGAAAAAACAAAGTCAATAGTCACTGTCGTCTCTGTCAGAAAAAAGAAAACTACTTTACATTAAGTTTGAGATTCTGTTTTTTCCATCAAGAATGAAGACCAATATGCCAAAAGAAGAACACTGCCAAAGACCGCTGCGGAGGCGGGAACACAGTACTTATGCCCAGGCCTGCGTGAATTATGCTCAGCCACACTGAAAGCACTCATAAGATGCATTGGTTAGATTTTAGGGACTGCTTTTTTCCCTTTCCCTTTTATTTTTTTGTCATAAAGGATGGATCTCTGCATGGGGGGTGGAGGAGGGATATACTGGGAAATGAAGGTCATTTGAAAATAAAAACTATCAATGCAAAATCTTTTCAAGCTCTTACAGCCATCAGTAGGAAACAGAACGTTGGCACAGCAGAGAAAGCATTAGACGTAGGAGTCAAGAAGACCTGAGCTGCAGTCTTAACTTAGACAATTACTGGCTACATGACTGAGCAAGTTATTTCACCTCTCTGCCTCAGTTTCCTCATCTATAAAATGAGGAGATTGGACTGGATGACCTCTAAGGGCCCTTCCAGGTCCAGATCTATGATGCTATGCACAACTCTCAGGGCCAAGCACAGCCCCTGGGGCCACTCCACTGGAGAGAGAGCTCTTTCTCTTGGGAGCTGGCCATTTGAACCTGAGGAATTCCAAGTCAATGACCACTTCCTGGCTCCAGCCACTGTACCTCTTTCATGTCCCCCTAATGACACTATCTTCTAGACCAGCACTTCTTAAACTGTGGGTCATGACCCCATACGGGGTTACATACCTGAACGTAGGGGTCACAAAAAATTTGGTTAACAGTAAGAGGTTTCCGAACATGTAACGACCAAAATTTAATTCAAAATCAAACAAATCCAAGGTGTTTCTGGCAACATTTGCCCACGCTGCACTCCACAACTTCACTGCAGCCTTGGTTCTGAACACACAATGTGAGCACTATGTAAATATGAGCATTAATTTTTTAAATTAAGCACAAACAAATGTAATTTCATAAACTAAAGCTAGTATTTATTTGAAACATTAGCAAAATTTACTTATATTTTAGGACCAAAATATTTTTGGTTACATGTAAGTGGATAAATTTAAATAGAATATGTAAAGATACAGATGACAATATGGCAGAGTCTTCACTACCAGGTCCTAGTATACCTGGTAGTAAATTGACAAAAAAAAGAAAATATGTTAAATTATGTTTGCAATATGGATTTACTTCTAATAATGATGATGGTGTGGAAAAACCTCTCTGCTTAATTTGTAATGAAATTTTGGCTGCGGAAAGCACGAAAACTGGCAAACTAAAATGACATCTTCATACCAAGGATGTGGTGTACTGCAATAAGCCAAAGGAATATTTTGAATGACTTTAAAAATCTTCAAATGAAGAAAAAAACAATTTTTTTAGAAATGTGTCACTGTCGACAAGAGTATTTACTTGCATCTTACGAAACTTCTTATTTAATTGCAAAAACTAAAAAGCTCTATGTGACAGAAGATCTTGTGTTACCTGGTGCTATTAAAATGTCAGAAACAGTTCATGGGAAAAAGTATGGGCATGAGATTTGTAAAATTCCTTTACTGAATGATACCAGTTCTATAAGAGTTTCTAAAACTGGTAATGAACAACTCCAGCAGCTTATTGCCAGGCTTAAGGGCAGCCCAAAGTTTGCCATTCATTTAGATGCAACAACTGGTATTTCTAACATGGCACAGTTGTTACTTTATGTAAGATATGTTTATGAAGGAAGCATACAAGAGGAATTATTGTTTTGTCACCCTTTGGAAAGGCACACAACAGGGGGAGATAGAGATCTTAAAGTCGAGGAATTTTTTACAAATGAAGATTTACAGTGGAAAAATTGCATTGGAGTCAGTACAGACAGTGCTGGAGCAATGATGAGTGAGAAGGTTGGATTTGTAGCCAAAGTTAAAGCTGGTGGCAACAAGTATACCACTTTTTCTCACTGCATGATCCGGCAGGAGGCATCACTAGAGTTAGACGTTGTGCTTCGTGATACTATCAACGTCGCTAACTTTACTCAAAGTCATGCCCTGAACAGGTGTTTATTTCCAAACCTTTGGAAAGACATGAACTTCGATTACAAAGGCTTATTACTACGTGCAGAGGTAATGCCCTCATGAGGGCAAAGTTTACACAGATTATTGAAACTGAAAGAGAAAAAGCTGTTATACTTTTGACTGAGCAGAAATTCAATTTTGTTCATTTTTTTCATAATGACTTATGGCTTTCAAAACTGTTATTTGTCGGATATTTTTGAAAAATTCAATGATTTAAACATGTTGCTTAAAGGAAAAAATTTTAACATATTCATGTTAAAAGATAAAATTGAAAGTTTAACTAAAAACATTAACATATGGAAGAATAGAGTGGAAAATGGTTCTTCAGAAATGTTTACAGTTACAGATGATTTTATAATGGAAAATAACCTTCCCAAAGATTTCACTGCAAGAGTTATAATTGATCATCTTAAATGCCTGGAGACACAGTTTCAGAAATACTTTCCTCCAAATTTTGATTCTAAAAAACTAATTTGGGTTCATAAACCATACTCAATTGAAATCAAAAACGTCAGTCATCCACTATCAAAATTTCAAGAAGAATTTGCCAAGTTATTCAGGTTTAAAACCTGAGTTTCTTAAAAAATCATTAAGTGAATTTTGGCTTGGGATTAGGACAGAATTTCCAACCGTTTCTGAAATGGCCCTAAACATACTTCTGCCATTTTGTACTGCATATTTATGTGAAGTGATGTTCTCAGTACTGACTACTATAAAATCAAAATATTGATCAACTCTGAAAAACACTGAAGATGCTCTACATTCTGCAGTATCAAATATCCCACCAAGATTTAATTCTTTATGTAAAAATAAACAAGCACATCCATCTCATTAGGATGCAAATCTGCTTTTGGCTTTAATAAACGGTAAAATGATATGTATACCAAAAAATTGCTTTATAATAAATTTCTTTTTGCTTTATTATCAGTAAATATTTGATCTGTATACCTGTTTTATATACTTACATATCCAGGGTCATGTAAAAATTTCTGAGGAAAAAAGGGGTAGCAAGTAGAAAAAGTTTAAGAAGCCTTGTTCTACTATACCCAAAGGGCTATAAAAATGTGCATACCCTTTGACCCAGCAATAGCACTTCTAGGGCTATATCCCAAAAAGATCACACAAATGGGAAAAGGACCTACATGTACAAAAATATTCATAGCAGCTCTTTTTGTGGTGGCAAAGAATTGGAAACTGAGAGGATGCCCATCAACTGGGGAATGGCTGAGCAAGTTGTGGTAAATGAATGTAATGGAATACTATTGTGCTATAAGAAATGATGAACGGGCTGACTTCAGAAAAACCTGTAAAGACTTGTATGGTCTGATGCTGAGTGAAGTGAGCAGAACGAAGAGAACGTTGTACACAATAACAGCCATGTTGTGTGATGACTAATATTGATAAACTTAACCCTTCCTGGCAATACAAGGATCTAAGACATCTCCAGAGGCCTTGTGATGGAAAATGCTATCCACACCCAAACAAAGAACTATGGAAGCGGAATTTTTATTTTTTTCTCTTCTGTTGAGTTTTGTTTCCTCTTTCTGATAGTTCCTCCTATTGGTTTTAATTTTTACTTACAATATCACTAATGTGAAAATATGTTTAATATGAATGTAAATGTATAGCCTATATCAGATTGTGCACTGTCTTGGGGAGTGTGGTGGGGAGGAAGGGGGAGAAAAATTTTAAACTTAAAAGCATATGGAAATGATTATTGATGAATCAAAATAAATTAATAAAAAATTTTTTTAAAAATTTTAAAAAATAAAATGAGGATAATAACAGCTAAAAAAAAAAGAAGCCTTGTTCTAGACCACATGTCTCAATTTTTTCCACAAGAATAACAGGGGAGACTTTTATTAAATGCTTTGCTAAAATGCAAAGGTGAATTGTATCTACATCATTTTTCTGCTCTGGAAGGAGAGCAACCATGCCAAAGAAAGGAAATAAGGTTAGGCCAACATCACTTTTTACATAAAATTTCTATTGATCTTTCCCTGAAATCACCTCATTTCTGAGTCCATCCTTCCACCTCTCCTACCCAGGGAGCCATCTCTTGTAATAAGAATTAAAAGAAAAAAAAGGGGAAAGAAAGCAGGTCAGCAAAGCCAAGCACCCACCAGCCCACCAGTGGATTATGGGGCCTGGTCTTGATGAAAGAACGCCAGGCACTTGGGGATCACCCCTTTCTTTTCCAGATATTCATTCATCAGCTCTTTGATGTCCATGACTCCCATCCTCCCATCCACTTTTCACTCACTCACCTGGGTAAGGGTCTCTTGGGACCTCTTCCTCAAGCATCCATGGAGCTTCTCCTCTCTCCAAGCAGGAGATCACATCTGGTTTCAAACCTGGAAGCCCTGATCATGGAGAGATAGGAAGTTTTGGGGACAGAAAACCATCCCAGAATCCTTTCCTGGTCCCCTTCTCTGCAGGGAAAGGAAACCATGTAGGGAAGGCCCAGAGGCCAGGACTCAACCCCTCTTTGGGGATGAAACCCAGACTTGATTGGGACCCAGAGACCACTGATTTACTGGGCCCCTCCCTGCCTAGGGGAGAGGATCTTCTCATGTCTTCAGGCCACATGGGTCATGGGACTGAGCAAGAACGTTTGACCTGGGGAGACAGAGAGTTGGGAAGCTGGAGCCTCAAGGCCATCACGACACAGGGGCAGCATGCCCACCCACAAAAGTTAAGTGCTTTCCCCAGGGCACAGAGAGCAGAAAAAGTTTCCAGGATCTTCCCCCAGGTGATGTGCTGGACCCCACTGCTGCAGAGAAAGGCTAACTCAGGAGAGCTCATGTGCCACCTGTCGGGGTCTGCCAAGTGAGAAGCAGAGACACCTAGTGATCACAGCCCATCTCCAGGGCAGAGGGGTGTCCTTACCCAGGGAGACGAGGATCTCAAAGGTCTCCAGCATCACCTCCCTGTACAGGGCCCGCTGGGCAGGGCCCAGGTGGCCCCACTCATCTCGGGTGAAGTCCACAGACACATCCTCGAATGTCACTGATTCCTGAAACATCAAACACATCTGTTGTTACCCAAGGACCTTCTCACAGTTCTTAAGGGGAGATACGGAGTTGACAGGAGGAAATTTGGAGACAGCTTCTTATAGAAGTGAGTTTTAAGCATTTCATGGCAGGTATTGATTCAGTCCCTACAAATACCACATGTCTCATTTTGTACTAGACTCAAAGGAACAGAAATGGTTCTTCACTGTTCAATTTAATCTGGAAAAATCATCTCCCAAAGTGGTGTCCTAGCAAATCATGCCCTTTACTCTCACAGAACCAAATCAGTCAAAACCACTGGCTTCTATCTTCTAGTTAGGTACACAATGCTAACATCAGCAGCCATACTAAATGTATTAATTCCTTATTAGCTACACTGAAGTAATCATTCTTCTTTATTAATCACCCTGTTCTAGGAATATTTGTTTTATATATATATATTTTTTTAAAACCAGCACACCCCAGTGGTGTTCTGTAATGTGCCTCCTCTTCTCCAGCCAGTAAGATGACCCGGCTCTGACTGGACACTGTTCCCTGTGTACTATGTGGGACTAGAATAAAATTCTCCCCTATTTGTTTGAACAAATATTTGCTAAAAACCTACTGTGTGCACGCACTGTTTCTGGAGCTGAATGAAATGCAACATTGCAGAAAACACGGCCCTTGCTTTCAAGTAGCGTATACTTGGCAGTGTCGGGGCACGCCAAACACAGAAGCAACTGTAATACACCATTACTGGTCTAACAAAAGTGTAAAGTCTGTGCTTAAAGTGACCCATATGGCAGAGCAGGAAAACAATGCACAGAGTGACTTTTGTCGTTGATGATGTTCAGGCATTTCAGTCACATCTGACTCTTCATGACCCCATGTCGGGTTTTCTTGGCAAGACACTGGAGTGGGTGGCCATTTCCTTCCCTAGCTCACTTTACAGATGAAGAAGCTAAGGCAAACAGGGTGAAGTGACTTGCCCAGGGTCACACAGCTATTCAGTGTCTGAGGCCAGATCTGAGTTCGGATCCTCCTGACTCCAGGCCCAGGGCTCAAGAAGCTTATAATCTAAAGGGCAAGACAACACATGAAAAGAACTAGGAGGAGGGCGGATAGGGGAGTGAGGGGGAAGGGGACGCCAGCGGACACCTGTCGAAGGAGCACAGATGCAACGCGGAGTGCGCAGAGTCAAGCTTCGGCCTGACAGAACTAAGGAGGGCTCTGGGAGGAGTTGGGGCTCCAGCCTCCAGTTCGAGGCGAGGGCAATCTCAGAGTGGTGGAGTCAGTCAAGGTTTGACCTAGCACCCTGGTGAGGAGATTCGAAGAGATGCGCTTGTCCTGGAGGGACTGGCTTCATTCTACAACCAAGCCAACCGCTAAGCGCAGGGAATCTCCTGAAACACTGACCGACCTCTCCACACGTTCCGCCAGGCTCTACCTATGAGGAATCCTATTTCTCTTTTCCAGGATCTCTGATGGTGATTTTAGACACGGACATTTCATTTCACAATCACACCCCTGCCGTCGCCCTCGTGGCCTTCAACACCGGGGCCGACCACCCGTCTGACTACAACATCCTCACTCCCCTCGTTGACACCTTCTCGCTTCAGACTCTCATAACTGAAGAAAGCTCAGCGGTCTTCTGTTCCAACCGGTGCCAAAGCAGGAATCCTACTTAAAGTCCCTTCACCTGCTCTTTTGTTCAAAGACCTGACGTGAAGGGGGTCCAAGTCTTTGCTTCTCCAACCCAAACAGCCCCAGTTTTTTCAACTCACTCTCCTACAACTTTGCCGCAGGACCCTTGACCGTCCTGACTGTCCTCCCTGGGACACTCTCGTGCTCATCCGTGGGAGGTATGGCATGTTCGGGAGGACTATCACCTCTGGTGGGAGTTCTGCTGAGCCCTCTCTGGGCTGCTCATTCACCTTTGGGGTCCACCTGATTCACCCAACTGTCACCTGCGACTCTGAGAAGCTGTAGCACGTGCAGCTGCCTGTTAAAACCACCTCAGCAGATGGGATAAACCAGGCTGAATTTAACAGACAAGCCTCAAAGTCACTGGTGGCTTAGGGGACGTCTAGCCCAAGCGCGCGAAGACGTCCCCCAGTGGAAGGGGTGGATGAGAACAATTTGTTCCAACGGCCAGGAAGGCGGCTGGAGCAGACACCGCATAGAGCTTAGAGCTCGGTCGGACGTCGGAGATGCCGAGGTCGTCCACTGCATCCCGAGCCATCACCGGTCACCTTGACTTTCGTCTTGCTACCGGACTTTGATAACTCAGGAAGAGAGAGTGAGGCTGATGGCTTTGTGCGACTCTACCTCACTTAGATCCAATCCACGTGCAAGTCAAGACACAACCGTCATTCCCCTTTCAAAAACAAAGGACAAAACACAGCAGCAGCTTATCCATGATCTTCTTAAACCCTGATAACCACAACTGAACACAACGCTCAGCTGGGCTCCGACGAGGGACAGGACATACAGCGAGACTATCACCTCCCCATTCCTGGAAACGCCTCCTCTCCTCTCCTCATACAACTCAAGATCCTATCAGCTTTTTTGGGGTCTGCATCACGTGGCTGACTCCTGTTGAGCTTGCGGTCCGCTGAAACCTCCAGATCTCTTCCAGAAACGCTGCACAATCATGCCTCCTTCGCACACAGCAGGCGCTCAGTAGGTGACATTTTTTGTGCCTAAGTAAAAGATGTCACATTTAACTCTAATTAAATCCATCTCACTAGAGTCAGCCCAATGCTTTGGCCCGCCAAGATACTTTTGTTTTCCGACCCTGCCATCCCTCCCGGCTTGGTATCATCTGCAAATGAGATGGGCAGGCCACGTCATTGATGACGACATGAAACAACACAGGGCCAGGCACAGATCCCTGGAGCACTTCGCTGGAGACCTGCTGTCACAATGGCGCCACGCCACGAACAGCTGGCCGCCCTTTGTGTCCAGACCTCCAACTGGCATCATTGTCTAGTCTGCATCTCCATTTTTATCAAACGCTTGGCTAAGATCCAGGTAAACTCCACACCGGCGTTCCTCTCACCTGCTAATTCACAGACCGTCAAAATGGGAATGAGGGCAGTCTTGATGAAGCTACGCTCGCTCTCCGTTATCGCCGCGTCTCTGAGTGTTCCCTGTCGATCCATCAGAATTTGTCGGGGATTCAAAGGCAAGTTCGGGGTCCTGCAGTTGGCGGATTCTCCTCTTTTTATCTCTCTTTAATCAGGATATTTGCCCTTCTCCATGCGTTAGTGCTCCCATTTCCAGGACCTTTTTAACATCACCGACAGTGACCCAGTAATGCCATCTGCCCATCACCACTCTAGGATGTGGTTCATCTTGAGCGAGTGACTGGAATTCAATACGGGCACCGAGCTCCTTCCAGTCAGTGAGAATCAGACACAGAACAAAATTTCCCTTGTTGGTTCCTAGACTTTTGAAGGGTGAAATCATCATTAAAGCAAGTAAGTCAGGGGCAGCTACATGGCACAGTGGATACAGCACTGGCCCTGAAGTCAGGAGGACCCGAGTTCAAATCCGGCCTCAGACACTCGACACTAGCTGTGTGACCCTGGGCAAGTCACTTAACCCCACTGCCTAACCAAAAAACAAAAACAAAACCCTGAGCGAGGCAAGTAAGTCAAGGAGTAAATAGCTGCTCTGCTTCTGGCAGAGAAAACCGACACCTTCATCACTCGTGCCAGGTTAAGTCAGACCACTCCCATCGCCTTGACCACCATGTCCCCTCAGATCTTGAGGGAGACAGCCTAGGACCCTGAGCCCAAGAACCTTGGGAATGGGAAAGCTTCCAGGCCAGTGTTGTCAGCCATCGTCCCTGGAAGCAGCCCCTGTGGAGACACAGCCCGCAGGTGCTACAGACACAGTTACTGGGAGACCCAGGAGAGTTCTGCCATCGCAGTCCCTGGCCCTGCCCGATGGTTCAACTTCATCAGGTGATTTTATTAGCAGAAATGTCATGAAATAAGAGACCTGATCATCTGCTTCGCTGCCACCCCCGAGACCTTTCCCTGCCTGGGACTTGCAGCTGAAACCTCCCTGAGCTGTCTCCCCCATTAGAAAGGGAGCCCCTCAATGGCAGGGACTGTCTGACTTTTCTGCTGGTTTCCCCAGCACTGGGCTTGGCACATAGTAAGTACTTCATAAATGCTTCATCCATTTCATTCATCACTACCACATCATGTTTATATGCCAAACTTGTAACCTTTTCCCACGCTCCTCTATTTCCTCTTTCTGTCCAAGTGATCTATAGTAAATCCCTTCTATTTCTCCCTCCTTCGACCTTCACCCAAATAATCTCCACTTTTCCTTCCCTCTTTTTCTTGAATTTCCTCATGAGCATGCCTTTTTTACCGCATGTTCTCACACACTGTACGTTATATACTGAGCACTGATGTACAATATACATTATACATTAATATACAATGCTACTCTACTTCTAATTCCTTTTACCTATCTTGCTTATTTTCAATAAATTATACCCATCCAGGGCAATGCAGCAGTCATGGGTTTCATTCCACCAATTCTCCACGATCCCTGTGAGGTCAAGTGGGTCACTTTGTTTTAGGTTCTCCAATTCTTCTTACCTATTGACTAAACTTTGAGCTTTTGGGTATAGACATTGGAGGCCATGGGTTTTATTGCTGGCTCCTTCTTGGATTTTGTTACCTTTCCTTCTTTGTCACTACTCTGTAGGGTACCTAAATTGGAGGATATACATAGGTGGTTATATCTCTGTCTCATCCGTTTTTAAGTCATTTTGATTAGAGTTGCAAATGCACTCATACTAGCCTTTTTAAGTGAACTTCATCTCCAAACAATATCTTTTTCCTAGACAATAATTTGTTATCTCTATATTTTAAGGCATAGTCCGAGAATCCAAATCCCATTTTCCAGGCACCATTTTCTTAGCCAACTGTTGACTTCCCCAATTAATTTTTCTCTTCTGCATTCATTGCCTTCAATGGCTGAAGGTAATGAAAATACAACCTATGTTCCTATGGTCTTGTTTCTTGACCACAATTTCCACAATCATGGACAGGACTTTTTGGCATCCTTCTGGCAGTGTCATTTATGCATACACAAGTGGTTAACTGTCATCCATGTTTTGAAGTCTTGAAACATTGTCTGTTATGGCCAGGACACAGTCATGGAAAGACAACAGACTTCTCTATTGTGTTTATCAGTATAATGGGTGCATAGGGTGTCTGTCCCACCCATACTAGAGGACTTCATGCTTCTCACACAAGACTGCGAACACCTTGCTCATTATCTGGACTGGTTCATTCACTATAATCTGCTCTCACACCAGCAGGCTGAGGTTTCCAGAGAACTATCGCCATGTAGTTACACTCAAATACTCTCAAGATCCTAGGAGTAATGATGCCGTGGGGAAATACACTCCCCCTATTCACCGCTTCAGCTCTTGGGTCCCCATCAATGCATTTCCATTTACACAGACCACCTACGCACAACTGCGACACTTTTAGACATTAAACATAACCCTTGACTTAATAATGCACAATTCATAATACATCAAAGGTACTTACGTTTTAATGCAGGTACATGAATAATACATCACACTCCTCTTCAGAAGGGCACATGAACCATGATCTCACTGCCGTTATTGTCTTTGGCATTTGAGAGGGCCGCTGATCTTTTATTATTAATGCTGACATTATTAATAAAATGATTAAATTACCCAGAAATTATATTTCTCAAACTTTTTAAATGCCACATTTCTTGCACATAAGTGTCAGGATTGAATTTCCTCCATTTCTTTCTTTAGTATTGATTTTTTTTTAGTTCTCTTTTTTCAGGTCCACACTTTGTCCCTACAATTAATTTTCCTTACATGACAATGAAAATGTTAAGAATGACAAAAAAGCCAAACTGAAATACTGCAAAATGGGACCATGGCTGGCCCCTGGGAAGAGACATAAGAATGTGCCTCTCTCCCTTTTTGGCAGAGGCTGGGGGTAGTAGGTAGGAGAAACTTCATAGAGCACTGGTCAGTTCTGCTGGACTGGTTTTTCTTCTGTGTCATTCTTCGTTATAAGTCATGGCAATTTGCATGAGAATAGGAGGGAAATGAAGGTGATTAAATAAAAAAAAAAAACAAAGAGAAAGGTGGAACTTCCAGACGCAGGGAAGACATAGCTCCTCTGTCCTCTGCCCTGGTCAGGTCCTATCTAAAGGCCTGGGTTCAGTTCTGGACACCACAAATTAGGAAGGATTGCTGGACAGCTCCCTCAGTTGGGTAAGGAGAATGAAGAAGGGTCTTGGGCCCATTCCACAGGAGAACAAATTAAAGAAATGGGAACGTGGAGCCTTGGGAATAGAAGACAAGTGGGTGGGGTGGGGTGTGTGACAGGTATCCTCAAGGATATGAGGGGGCATCACGAGGAATAAGGGCAACCTTGACATCTCAGAAGACGCGACTGAAACACAGGGATATGGGGAACAAGAGTGTACCAGTCCCAGGTGATGGACGGCCCCTCACCTAGGCACCCACCTTCCAGGCTCCTGGCATGACTAACACGGCTCTGGTCCTGGGATGTGGGCGTCTGTGACCGCAGACAGAAGGCAGCTCCATGCTGCTGGGGTCCATCCCCAGCTGCATGCCGGTCTCTGCCACTCCCTGGTGATCCCTGCTCTGGGTTTCAGAGGTTCTGGGGCTTTATGCCAAGGCGGCACATTTGAAGGATGCCCCACTGGAGGGGCAAGCACTTTGTTCCCTCAAGTAGAGGCCATGAACGTTGCTGGCTGCCTGAAGAGGCTCAGTAACTCTGGTGGATGTCAGTCCTCAAGGGGCCCTGCTCCTGGGCCTCAGTGGTTCTCCCTGAACATGAAAGAGCGTGCTTTCCACCAGACACCTGGGGCTACCATCTTTAAAACCTCAGTGCTGAGTTCACAGCTTAGCCCTGAATCTGTCAGTTTATATGAGGGAAGGATTCTGGCTAACATGATCCATGACATCAGTAGTAGCCTTCAGAATGGCCAGATCCTTCTGGGGTAGAGTAACAGAGCCTCGGTGCTGGACGGGGGCCTGGGTGGGCAGACAAGACCAAGGTCCAAGGAAATGTTTCTGCGCTCTGAGAAGGCAAGAACTCACCTGGGGCCTGGCTGTCAGCAGCTCAGAGGTGATTTCTTCCTCCTCTTCCTCCTCCATGCTCCAGCTTGGGGAAAGGCAGCGGCTAGCGAATCTGGTGGGGGGGGGGGGGGGAGAACGACCAAAGAAGAGTCATGAGGGAGACCAAGGATGGCTTGGAGCTCCCCAGGCCCCAGGGTCACCCCCTTGCAACACCTCTTGCCCATTTCACCTCTGAAACATCCCTTGTCCACTTCACCACCCCCGCCCCCATCATCTTTTGTCCATTTCACCTCTACAACACCTCTTGCCCATTTCACCTCTGAAGCATCCCTGGTCCATTTCACCCCCACCCCACATCATCTTTTGTCCATTTCACCTCTACAACACCTCTTGTCCAACACATCCTTGGTCCACTTCACATAC